CAGCTCTGACTCCAGCTCTGAGATCCCAGCTCGCTGAAAGCTGGTTTCTGGGGTTTTTTTTAGCTTCTATGTTTGTTACAATGTTCAAACTGCAGGCTCAGAGGCCTGCAAGGCAGGCGGGGAACGTTGGTTTCCTCCGTCACTGAAGGAAGCAAGCCTCATGTTAGTTTCAAGCTGCCTGGCTGCCGGCCACCATCTTGGCTGACAGTTAATTTGCATATCTCCCTGATTAGCCAATGGGAAGGGTAGCAGTCGTACGCCAATTACCATGTTTCTCTTTTATTAGTGTAGATATAGATTATAGCCCACTGTATGGATAGACTACATTTATTAATAAACATTGATTAATTCATCAGTTGATAGTCATTTGGGTTGTATAAGTTTTTATTTGAACCCTCTTTTCAATTCTCTTGGGTATACTTCAAGGAGTAGAATTGCTCGGGCACACTGTAATTCCATGTTTAACATTTTGAGAAATTGCCAAATGGATTTACAAAGTGGTTGCACCATTTTACATCTCACCAGTGATGTAAGAGGCTTCCAATTTCTTTACATCCTCATCAACACTTGTTATTTTCTTTTTTTTGTACATTTGTTTGTTTTTGATAGCCATCCTAGTGGATATAAAGTGGTATTTCATTGTGTTTTTATTTGCATAGTGAATAGTGTTGAGCATTTTTCATGTGCTTACTAGCCAACTGTATATCTTCTTTGGCGGAATAGCTGTTTAAATACTTTGCTCATTTTCAATTGGGTTATTTGTCTTTTTATTACTGAGTTGTAAGAGTTTTTTTTTAATATTCTGGATACAAGTACCTTTATATATATGATTTGCAAGTATTTTATCCCATTCCACGGGAGTCTTTTCACTGTTTTGATGGTGTTCTTCATAGTATAAGACTATTGATTTTAACAAAGTACAATATATCTATTTTTTATTTTGTCACTTGTACTTTTGGTGTTATCTAAGGAAACTTTGCATAACCCAAGGTCATGAAGATTTATTCCTATGTTTTCTTCCAAGACATTTATAGTTTTAGCTCTTACATTTAACACTGTGACCCATTTTGAATTAATTTTTGTGTGCAGTGTAAGTAAGGTCCAACATTATGTTTTTGCATGCAAGTATCCAGTTGTTTTGCGGCACCATTTGTTCAAAAGACCATTCTTTCCTCATTAAACTGTCTTGGTACATAACATGCTTTTGTAATTCAAATTTATTTTGTTCTATTTAGTCCCTGGAACTTGTTTTATCCCTTGAGATAGCCAACAACACTTGCTATTATTAAACAAAGTTTAGAAGTTATAGACTGATTTCCTTCAAAGACTATGCTCCTCTTCTGCTTGGAACCTTTCAATGGCACTTTGAATAAAACCCAAACTTATTACCATGGTTTAAAAAGTCCTTCATGATCTGCTTCTCATCTATTTTTTTCAAACTCATCTCAAACAACTTTTCAGTATTTACTATGCTGCTGCTGTAACAACTTCCTTTTAGTTTTACAAAAATATCTAGATCGTTCTCACCTCCATATCTAGCCCTTTTTATTCCATCAACCTTGAAGGATCTCCCAAAGTTCTTTGCATGACTGGCTCCCTTTTCATTTTTCAGGTCTCAACTTAATATTCCCTTACCCAAGAAGGCTTCTCTTACTGCTCTCGTGGAAATACGCTTCTCTATCTTTAACTAGTCAGCTTCCCTTCCTTTAAGCAGTTATTCTTTTTCAATACCCTGTTATTTCTATCATCGCATTTATCACAGCCTGCAATGATCTTTTCTATTGTTAGACTTCTCCATGATATTAGAAAGTCTGAGATCAGGATCTTGCTAATCTTGTTCCCCTTGGTATTCACAATGCTTATTGAAGCAAAGTTCTTGGTTCATAGAAGGCATTCATAAACTTTGTTTTCAATTAATGAATAATCAAATATATTTAATAGAGTCCAAGTCTATAAGGCTAACAATAATTGGAAACATCTAAGCTAATGTTTTTTAAAAGCTATAGAACACTTTCTTTCAAAGAAAGCCTAAACAGAAGCTAATATGTTAAATATATATTCCAGGATCTTTGAGGACTCAAGTAGAAATAGGAGGAACAGGAGCCCATTTAGCATCCTCCCTGACACAATTATCTTGGGAGGTTCTGCATATCTCCAACCCCTTTCTTATATGTAATGAATAAACTGAGAAACTAAAGAATGATTTGCCCAATAATGTACAGCTCTTTAGTGGAAGAGCAGGGATTTGAATGATCCTTGCATAGTGGCCATTGTAGGGTTCCTTCTATTTCTGAGTTACTTTATGGCATAACTGTTCAAAAAAAAACAAGCCTAAGACCAAAGTCATAGA